TTTCCCATATCATAATGTTTACAACTACTATTTCCCAGCGAATAAAAATGTGCCTGGGAGTACTTGTCTACCCAACACACTTCTCCCTGTAAAGGAAGCACCGTAAGGTACCTTGCCTCAGTCCGAGTGTCAGTGTTTGGGTCTGCCCCCCGCACAGTTAAATGTTCTAAACTCAAGGGCGAGGTATCAGAAGGAATCCTTCGCTCTAAGCCCGCGGACTAAGACCGCACACCCAGCAATCTGAGACGTTTTGGCCTATGGATACCTTCTGTAGCAGACCTAGGTATACATTCAGGGCACCCAATACGGCTGAATTGAGTAGCACTGTAGCCGTCATGAACTTAGCCGTCATGTTGACAAGTATTGCTTGGCTTGCCTCTGCAGGCAAGTCTTCTGGGGTTTCTTGTCTATGAGTTCACCTGAACGTTAACAACACTGATCAGTTACCTTTTCTTGGCTCATCTTCTAGGACAAAGGTTACCGTTGTGAGGGGGCTCAGCAAGGTGAAGGGTATCCTCATTCGTTTCTTGGAGACCTTCTTCCTCAGGTTCCGTTTGAGTGGGATCTAATTCCAACAGGGCTGGTGCTGGGTTGATTTGTTCTTATGTCCTTGGCATTAAAGTCCTTTTGCCATGAGATGTGTGTATCCAGGCGGAATTTCCATCCACCTTTACCACAGTATCAGTGGTTAGCAGGACTTGCTAGGGTCCATTTCATCTAGGTTGCAGGCAGTCTTTTGGGCAAAATTCCTTTACTGGGACCCAATCTCCTGGTCTCAAAGCGTGGCAGGGAACATCAGTTGGAATGGGTAAAGCAGCACTGACCTGTGGAAATACAGCTTTGACAGTCTTTGTGAGTCCTTTGCAGTAACTTAACACACTGTCATGACCTTCTAACAGATCGACTGCTGTAATCTCTTTGACAGGGTTTAAACCCACGTGCAAACGTCTACCAAATGAAATGTCATATGCCGTAGGTCCATGTTTTGTACTAGGCATGTTCCTGAGGTGCGGTGGCATGTCGGGCCAAGAAAGTCCTGTTTGCTTACAAAGTTTGGGTAACGACAACGAACAGTAATCACATTATCGGCAGCTGTAATAGACAACTGTCATTGGGGAGATTTTGGAGAGTGGAAAGCTAGAGAGCGGACTGGTTGAGGCCAGGTTGGGCAGTTTGTTTTCCAACGCCCATGTCATCTGGACGCGGTCCACGCTGGGAATGCAGCTGAAAAGGAGGTGCAGTTGCTCTGCAGCTACAATTTGGGTGAGAGCTCTGATCGGACATTGGGGCCCCAGGATAAAAGTCCTGGCCAGGTTGGGCGTACGGGCGAGGATCAGTACGCCGCTTTTGTTCTAAATGTTGCATTTTCAAAGCCATTAGGTTAGTCTTCAGTTCTTTTCTTTTTTCCTTTTCCACCTGCTGCTGTTCCCAGTAAATCGATAGATGCCTGAACCATTTCAGTCTTTTCTTTGGTGGTTCCAGCCTACACCAAGTGCTGTAACGGTTCTTGTCACTGTGGCCGTACATTCTTTACGTAGGTGGTAACTATCCACCCTCACACGTCATCTGCCGCAGGAGCAATGCCGGTATGCCTGTGGATGGCTGCACAAAGTTGATTTGGAAGCTCGGCGGGATGCTCGTCAGGATTTTGTCTGCAAGTTGCGACTTTTGTCCAATCTACATGAGTCTGAGCTACTCTGGTAATGGCATGTAGCAAAGTAGCCCTAGCATTTCGTAAATTTTGCAGCCCTGGATTGTCGTCATACTGGTAACCGTTTTGTGGCGAAGGGGTGCCATCCGGAATATTCCTACTTTCTGCAAGTAGGAGTCGTTTCTGTGATGGATGTAACAGACTATTTAAGAGCCAGTGTACGTGAGACACTGTGGGACTGTCAATACCGAAGACCTGCTGCAACTTACCTCTAAAGTCAGAAGGGCTTTCTCTGAGTTTTGGAAAGGTATTACAACAGGTAGTGATATCGCTAGCCATCAACGGGACATGACTGACAGGTCGTTGGCCTCCTGGTATTTGAGGCGGGTATTGTCGCCATGGGCACAGAACAGTTGACTTAAAGTACCGCAGGTCTCCGAAGGTGGTCACCATCACTATTCCTCCCTCTGGGGCATATAGGGTTATTACAGTCTGCCCGTTTGAACCTCTTTGGATATTCTTCTCCTCGTATAAGGGAATAGTTTAAATTTTTCTTTAAATTTTTAAATTTAAAAATTTAAAATTTTTAAAAACTTTAAATTTTTCTTTACTTCTCACATACTAGGTAGGTCATCATCATTGGAGTCTAACTTACTTGAAGCTGGGGGAGAAAGCAGGCTTGCTGGTGGCTCTGTAGGTGAACAGCTAGCTGCAGCAAGCGCACGGCTGACTGTTTCGGTAGGGGGAGGAGGAGGGAGGAGGAACAGGACTAGGTCCCCAGGAATCTAGTAGGGCTTCCCTATCTTCTCGGGTGCAGCTAACGTTGGGCACCGGACTACTAGGGTAACGGTTTTTATATGTTGGAGGCCAACTTGGAGCTGATGGAACACTAGGGGTTTTCTCTTTTATAGGAGGCCGCCCACATTGTTGCTCCTTTAATGTAGCCAATTGCCTTTTCAATTTATCATTAGAGTCTCTGAGAATAGTCTCCATAGATTTTTGTTTTCTTTTCTAAGCTTCATTATACCATAGGTACCAATATGTCATCTGCTTTGGCTCGGGTATGTCTAAGAATCCCGTCAGGTAATTTATTTTTCCAGGATCAAAGGTTCCTTTAGCAGGAAGCTGTAACCCAGGGTTTGCACAGGTGTCACGATTGCAGGCACGTGCCAATTTAACTAAGCGCTTTTGCTTCCTTGGACCCAATTTAGTTCCATATTCGTTACACATGTACGCCAAAGGTGTTTTTGGGTCTGGCCAAGAGGATCCTCGACCCATGGCCAGGATAATGTAACAAATCCAGGAGAGATTTAACAGAAACACAAGAGGAAGGGGAAACGGGTTCGTCAGAGCGATGCCCGGTGCCAGAGACACAAAAGGAATGCACAAACTGGAACACGAACCCTTGCTTTCAAGATTGGCTCGCAAGCGGCCAACTTGGGGCGGCTGCCCGTGAACCAGACACAAGGGAAGGACACGTGACAATCTGTCCAAAAGACATCAGAGCTGTCAGGACAGACTGTTAGAGGCTAGTAAGCCAGCCAAGAGGACGTTACTTGTCCAGGCCAGGGCACACTGAGACACGTGAAATGAGATTTGTTAGGTAGGATCTCTTACCTCGGACTGTTGGCGCCACAGGTGTCAGCTGTGTCTCCAGACTCTTCAAGCTCCCAGCTCTGTGTTCCGCTGCGTCCCACTTCTGACACCAGAACACTGTGGGGGACAACTTCATCCCCTGGTATGTTGGGCAGAGGTTGAAACAAACAGGCCAATGGAAGTTTACAGACATAGTCCAATCAAGAAAGCCTTCCTGGTCAGGGCCATGCACAAATTCAGATGTTTGCCATGAGGTGTGACTCTGAACACAGGCAGTGAAGGGGTAATACAGAAAAGGTGATGTCATAAGCATAGCAACAGCATAAACCGATCACCAGTAGCCACGACGCAGACAAGTCTGCACGTGCCTTCAACCTGATGCCAGAGAAAACAAACTCATTTAAACCAGTCTGTAACAGCAAGGTCATGACCTGGCTACATGACTCGCTCGCAAGCAAAGTGGCAGACTAGAACCATTGTGGTTTTCCCCTTGCGGTCCACGTATGTATCTTAGTGCAGGGTCGAGTTGCGGCGCATGTTAGTTAGGGAATGGGTCCTCAGCTGGATCAGGGCATGGGTTAGGGTTAGAGAATGGGTCGAGAAGTAAGCTCAGGTCTGGGTTTGAGTCAGGCAAAGGGTTACCGTTGGAGAACAGCTCCAGACATGAGTCTGGGTCTGGATGACGGTTAGGGAACCAGTTAGCATTACAGAAGGGCTTCCTAAATGAGGATGGGGCCAGGTTACTGTTAAGGAACAGGTTCAGAATCGAGTCCGGTGTTGGTTCGGTTAACAGAATGGGTCCGCAAATGAATCCGGGTCTCGGTTACGTTGAGGCAAAGGGTTAGGGTTAGGGAACAGGTTTGCCAATGAGTAGTGGTGCAGGTTAGGGAAAGGGCGCACAAATAAATCCAGGCTTGGGTTCGGGTTAGGGACTGGGCGCCAACACACCTCACAGCATTCAATGCCTCCTGCTTCCGCCTGCGTGGGCACTGCTCGGCTCCACTCCGTGAAGCAGCATTCATTTCCATCCCCCCGGGGCAGGATCCTATGAGGGACAGAACAGGCCATTCACCACAAAGGGCTCAAGTGAACAGAAGAAGGGACCACCGAGTACAGTTCCAAGCCCAGCCACCCACTGAAAAACTCCCCAAGCGGTGCCTGGCCAAGACACACTCCTCCAGCCATGACAGAAGCCGCACCCCTTAGAGACAACGCTCAGCCACCCTGGCATAATTCTGCTCCCTCTCTATCCCAGCCTCCTCCCCAATTGTCTTTCTCTCTGCACAGGCTACACGGGAACCTCCTGAGGGCACAGAGCTACCTTCACCACCAAGCAGAAGGGCAAAGGACAAACTACTGTTCCACTGAAACACAATCCCACACCTCTCCAAGTAACATCTTACTCACTGCACGCTGTGGTCATGCACACAACTCCAGCAAAGGGGCAGAGGCCTGCTTCCAGGTGACCCTGAAGTCACCCTCGGCGCGCAATCGCCTGCATCCTCCACCTCCCAAAACGTCGTGGCTCTAGGTCTCTTTACCTGTACCGCGGGTCACCTCCGCTCACAGCCCAAACGTTGGTATCACCCCAAAACAGCAAGCAATTATTACATGGAAGAGTACTCATCTCTCATAGTAGTACAGTGAAGATCCCTCCCTTCCCCCCACCCCCACCGCAGCCCAGGGCTGCAGAAGCAGCCCACGGCCAACCCCCCCAAACACGGGAGGCAGGGTGCAGTCAAGCTCCTCCGCCCAGCGGGGCATCAATTTAGGTGCCAACGTGGTCCTCCTCCCAGGTCTGGGAAAAGCAAAGGAAGAAT